GTGTACCTCTGGTGCAAATTACTGACCTCTGTCATCATTTTAAGTGGGGGAACTTGCACAATCGGTGGCTGACTAAATACTTTTTTGCCCCACTGTATATTGTGTTCCAGCTACCTTTTCCTGCTTGGTCCCTCCATGTCTCCCTGTTTTGATGAATTTTTTGATTCCATGTACCCCTGAAACCTTTGAAGTCCACTGTAGTCAGAGAGCAGCTGCCTTCTGAGTGTGTACTCTTCATGCTGGACTGCTTTCCGTCACTTCCAGTACTGTTGAAACTATGACAGGACATAAGTATAATGTTAAATATAGTTAAACATAGTGAGTAGTTGTTAGTTACTGCAGTTAATGGTAAAAATTAGCCAAAATTAAACTTAAAGGACGGAGTCTAGGGAGCTTGAAAAGAAAAGCATCTTTGAACAGAGGTGGTGGCTTACAACGCTAACTGTCTTGCCTACGTAGACAAAAAATAATAAGTAATGCATTTTAGTAAATGGTAAATTTAACTGTATCTCTATCTATCTATATATAGAGCGATATAGATACAAGCAACAATACTCGTATCGATATTGAACTGTTCGATACAGTGATTTCGGTTTGGTACGCATATGTATTGAACAATACAACATTTTTAATTTATTTTATCAACTTTTCTTCTGACGATGCTGTCTGTGTTGAGAGCTCAGTGGATCTGCGTTCAACTTATCCACCTAGGCTGCACTGTCGAGAACAGATCCACTGAGCGCAGGGCAAGCTAGCGAGACAGAAGTTAAGCTCGTTGCAAGATGGCAAATTGAACTTCCCCCACCCTCAATCAGATCTGGTGTTTGGAACTATTTTGGTCTTCATGTGACGTATGACCCTGAAGGTAAGCGTGTCATGAACAAAAGTAAAACAGTATGTCGGATGTGCCATGCAATGCTCAACTGGTGGGAACTAGTGCGTTAGCGCAGTTTGCTCGCACGTGTTGACGCCGTCCAGCCCCACGCACGGGGCGATCCGCGGTAGCTCGTTAACGGAGATTTGCCGTGTTGTGGC